CATATACTCGTCACCATCTTCCATTGCCAAGATGTAAAGATGAAAAAAACAAACATCATGTTTTAAGCAGTGACAGACATGTTAATGTACTCTTAGGCCAAGGAGACAGACTGACAAGTACTAGGGTAAAGGGGCGAAGACATGAAGGATTTATGGGAGAAGCAAGGGTTTGAGCAAGCAGGCTCTTGAAGGATGGAGAATGAGAGCAGAGAAAGCTGAGGGGAAGAACACACCAGGCAGACGAACAAGTCAATGTGATTAAAGCTTGGGCTCTGCTGCCTGGCAGGAGAATGGTATGCATTGATGTCAGGTAAGTAAAAGCCAGATTAGAAGGGCCTGCATGATGAGGCTGAGGAGTTTTATTTTACAGGTGGAGAAATGACGTGACCCAGTCTCTGTTTAGTGAGTTCACCCTGTGGCACTGGGGGTGAGGTTGAGTATAGTTAGGCCTTCAGCAACCAGGCAGGAGGTACTGAGCCCTGACCTAAGTGGGGCAGTAGTGTCTGAGAACAGAAAGGAGAAGGTGTATATGAAAGGTATGGAGGAGGTAAAGTTGAAACTCCCAGCCCTTAAATACCCTCCTATTCCAACATATAACTAAAAATCTTTCAGTATTTATTGCTTTGCCCAGAGCTGTCATTTCCAATATCACACAACCTTTATGAGGCCCAGCTTCACATATAGGTGAGCAACGTATCATACAAAGGTAATTTTACCCAAACAGTGGCTCAGGGTCAGTGTCCTGAATGCTCCTGTGAGTTACACCTCTCCCTGCGCATAGAGCAGCTGCCCTGGAGAGGCACAGATGCAGTGGTCTGAGCTTCCAGAGCTCCCAGTAATATGGTGGCGCTTTAAGAGCTAGCTAACAGAATAGCTTATCAGGAATCTAGTATCTATTAAGTGCCTGCCCATAGCCTGACATTCTTACATTGAAACCATTTGAAAACCCTGTCAGGTGTTTTATGAGGGTAGGGAGCTTTCAGAATCTGCACTCATTCCACCTGGTCAGCCCTACAAATGAACCCTGTGAGGCTGTGCATTTGAGGGCTGAAGGAGAATGTAATTATTTATAAGGAATTTGGCTACAAGCTTAATACTGTCCCTAAAGAAGAGTTGGGATTTTTTAATCCAGGGCCCAGAGAGCCTAGAGCTGAGCAACAGGATTGAGGAAATGGGTGGCAGTGAATGAAGCAGGCTCTAGTCAGGCCTCTGGGATTTCCTTATGAAAGGAAAATATTTGGATGAGAATCCATCCTTTAAAGGGGGAGGGCACGGGGATGAAATAGGGAGCAGAGAAACCTTCTATAATAACTCAAAAAACAACAGATGTAGTCAAGCTATGAATGGAATCAGCCAGTGGAAAAACTGGCAACAATGCACAGGGCTACAACTGGAAGCAGGTTTAAGATCTCTCTAACTGATTCAGCTGTGGCAGGTTGCTCAGTTGGTTGGAGCACCTTCCATAAACTGAAAGGTTGCGGTCCCATTCCTGGTCAGGGCACATACCTGAGGCTCAATTCCAGGCTGAGGTGCGTGCATGTGAGGAGGCAACTCATCGATGTATCTCACAACTCTCTCCCCCCCTCTCCCCGCTTCCCCTCTCTCTAAAAAGTGAAAACATGCCCTTAGGTGAGGATTTTAAAAAAGTCTCTAACTGCTTCAGAATGAGTCCCCAACTATCTCCTGCAGTTAAGAAATGAAACTGCCCTTACGGGCCTTGGGACATTGGCAACTAAGCACGTCTCTCAGGGCCTGTCCCCCCATCTATAAAACGAGAGCTGAACTAAGACATCTCCTAGAAACTTTCTGGCTCTCAGGATTGCGCCTTTGTGGCTAAATTTGTAGCACTTCCCCAGAGCAGAAAGGACTCAGGTAGGACTGGGTTCTCCTGTCCCCGTTTTTTTGGTCCAGTCAGACCAACCTCAGAGAAGGTAGCCCTCAGACCTTGAGCAGTGAGCCTAACAAAGCCTCTCTTGGCACCGGGGAGGTCAGTTATCCTGAATAGGCCAGGCCTCGCATGCTTAGCATGTTAATTGTTCCCCCTCCTACTGGCCATTCATGTGGGAATCACAAAGACCCCGGCTCATCTTCCTTTGACTCTCCTCCTCCTGCAGTTGGGCGGTGGTAACTGCAACCTCAGATTTCTTACTGTAGTGACTTTACCAGATAGTTACAAACTAACCCTTGAAGCCCCCACACTATTTTACGTTTAACTTCTTCCCTGCCTACCACTTCTTTCTAGTGGCGCTGTTACCTGCTTGGCCTGATAGCAGTCACACGTAAACTGCAGGTGACTAAGTTCTGACAGGGCTTGGCCTCTCTGACAGCTGGCTGGAGCCTCAGGGGCCTTATTCCCTTGCTTCTGGGTTTTGTGCTAGGTTGGGATCAGTTCGGATGCTAGAATTACAACTTTTGGAAATTTTGGATAATTAAACTATTCACTAAGTTGTCAGTAGTATTGATTTCAGACCCCACAGCCTGTGTTAGAAGTTTACTTTTCTGATTCCCTATTTCTGCCGCTAGCTTTAGGTCCTAGGAGGTTGGACCCAGAGTTATAGGCAGCAGGAAACACAGCAGGGGACGCCCCTGGCTGGTGTCATGTGGCCAGTGTGTTGCCTCTTCCTCTCCTCTGCCCCCTCCTCAGACACAATGGGAACATCCTTTTGGACGCAGAAGGCCACATCATCCACATCGACTTCGGCTTCATCCTGTCCAGCTCACCCCGAAACCTGGGCTTTGAGACGTCAGCCTTTAAGCTGACCACAGAGTTTGTGGACGTGAGTCAGGAAGGAGAGGTGCCTCACTGTGTTCTTTCTCTGTCATAGGAGAGGGAGTTTATGGGCTCCCCCCAAATTAGGGATGAACAGAAATGGCAGTAAGTCAGGGTGAGGCTGGGTGTCCTGGGAGGCTTCCTGCCTACTCAGAGTTGGGAAGTAATGGGTTCAGCGTGTGTGTCCCGATGGAGGAAGGAGTTCTGGCTGGCTGGTGGGACACTGAGCCCTGTCATACCCGCCACTCTATCCTCCCCTGCCAGGTCATGGGCGGCCTAGATGGTGACATGTTCAACTACTATAAGATGTTGATGCTGCAGGGACTCATTGCTGCTCGGAAGCACATGGACAAGGTCGTGCAGATCGTGGAGATCATGCAGCAAGGTGGGGCTGGGGAGAGGCTGGCTGTTTGGGGATAGGGTGGTACCCAACATGGAATTTCCAAGCAGTTCATTCCACCTCAAGACTTCGGGCGGGCAGAGGTTCCCAGAGGGTTTCCAGTGCTGATCCTGTGCTCTGTTTCTCCTTTGGGACATGCCTCCTGACAGAGCTAGGTCCTGGGGTTCGATGGGCAGAGGCCCCAGAAACCGTCTCCTAGGCAGACTCAGGGAGAGAACAGTCCCTCTCCAGCCTTTTGGTCCCTTCTCATCTCTCCACCCCTTGCCTGACTCCTAGGTTTCTTCTCTCCTCCCATCACTCAGCTCTTGACCAGCTCAGGTGTTTCCAGTCGCCACTTTCCTCCTTACTGGGCTCCAAGTCCCTTGTCCTCAGGCCTCTTCCCTCTCCACATACTCACCCCATCGTCTTTATTTACTCACTGTGCTATGTCCTCACTGTCTTGCCGTCTATAGTCTTTTGTCCAGGTCCCTCCTCTCCCAGCCCTCTGGGCCCTTGTCCCCACCCCCTTTCTTAAGACCATCGTGTATATACCCAGTCTAAGCTTCCAGTCTCCTCCTCCTCCCCATCCCTGCCCCCACCCCACAGGTTGTCGCCGTTTCTCAGGAGCATCCCCGTCTGGCCCCATGATGACAGTGGCCCAGGTCATCTGTGAGTGTCAGACGTAGCATAGGCAGAGCCCTGCAACCAGATAAGTGCCCAGCTCAGGGCCCATTCCCTAGAACCTTCTTCCAGCCTTCCCTCTGGGCCCTAGGACTGCTCCCTCAGCGGGTAACTGGGGAGATGTGGTGTTGGCCCTCTGCCCTCCTCTGCCCTCATGCCCTCACCTAGAGGGGTTTAGGAGTGTGGGATGAAGATGGGCCCAAGATAGGGCCTCCCATGAGTTCTCCCTTCTCTGCCCAAGCAGAATGGCATCCACACGCTCAGAGATCTCTCTAGGGTACTTGCTGTGGCTGTTACACTGCCCCTCCCTCCTTCCCACTCACGATCCTCTGCCCTCACTGCCTCCACCAGGTTCTCAGCTCCCTTGCTTCCATGGCTCCAGCACCATCCGCAACCTCAAGGAGAGGTTCCACATGAGCATGACTGAGGAGCAACTCCAGCTGCTGGTGGAGCAGATGGTGGATGGCAGCATGCGGTCTATCACCACCAAACTCTATGATGGCTTCCAGTACCTCACCAATGGCATCATGTGACACCCTCTTTCTCAGGCCCCAGAATGTCGGGGCATTCGGGGGACCTTCCCTGGGAGAAATTCCAAACCAGGAAACTCCACCCACCCATCCATTCCCTCAAGGGAAATGGAAGGCAAGAAATACAAAGGATCATGTGGTGACAGTAGAGCTTGCCAGGGGGTGGGAGAACCAGCTGTGGGGTCCAGACTTGCTGGGGCTTCTGCCTCCAGTGGTGTCAGTATTATCACCTGACAGACTCCAGGACTCACTGCCCTCCAGAGAACAGAGGTGATCAATCTGAGGACACTAGGCCTTTATTCTCCTCGCCAGGGTCCAAGGTTCTTTCTATAGGCCATCTTCTTAATCTCTTCCGGGTCCCAGGAAGAGGGAGGGTGGGGGAAGAGTGGGTTCTTGGTACTTAGGACTTGATCCTGTGGTTTGCCTTTGGCCATGCTGCTGCCTGACTGCTCCCTCCCAGGGACTGACTCCTACCCCAAGATCCCCTTGGTGGGTGGGCTCCGGCATAGGGTCCCACACAGGGTCGCGTACCCGCCGGGGTTCCCGTCACAGAGGCCAGGAAGGGTTATCACAGTCCCTCCAATACAAGGGTGTTGGCCTAGCAGCGGGGAATTCCTTGCCCTTATCCCTTCCCCACATCCAGGGAAATAGCTCTCAATTTTTTATTTTTAATTTTTGTTCGAAATAAAGTCCTTAGTTAGCCATCTGTATCATTTCTGAGTTGTACTTTCGCGGGGAGTGGGAGTGAGTGAACAGATGCCTCCGTGTCCAGCATACCAGTCACCCCACAGAACAAGGCGGAGGAAGACTGCCCTTTCCCTGCCAGTCTGGGTCAGTACCACCTTTCCAGAGAAAGGCCTCCCCACTTGTGACTCAGACCCTCCACCAAATCCACTATCCAAATCACATAAGAGAGCCTGAATGGGGATTAAACCACAAGCAGTTTTAATGGTCTGGTTTTCTCCCTCCCGTTGCCCCCACTGTTAGTATTACTACAAGAATAAAGGATTCCTGAGAACCTGTCCCCTCCTCTCCCTGGGTCCTCCTTGACAGGGCTCTTCCCTACCACCCCCCCTGGATTTCTGGGGTGGGGGAGACAAGTGAAAGGCACTGTAGGGGTGGGGGGCTTGAGTGCCAGGGAGTCTAAGGGGCGGTGCCAGAGCAGAGCCAGGCCTGAAGTCTGCCTGCACGGGGTTGTGGAGTGTGTCCTGACTGCCCCAGCACTGGTCCTTCCCTGGACGGTCTAGCAGGCCTAACAAAGTCCTGTCCTCCCACCCCCAGTCCCACACAGGGTCTGCAGCAGGAGCGTAATTAGTGTTGGGCTATGAAAGGAGGAATGGAGGGCCCGCTCTACTAGGACCCAAGGGCCAAACCCAAAGTGGGGACTGCAAGTAACTATAATGCTCAAGTTTGTTGTCTCTGGGGGTTAGAGGGAAGAGGAACTGAACAAATGTGAATTATAGCAAACTCCCCAGCCTGCAGACTAGGCAGCAGCAGTGACCCAGGCTCCCAGGGAAGAGGGATGGGGGCAGTCAGTCCAGGTCTGGGGCCTAGTTGTCCCCACTGCCCCCTTGCCGAGCCCTGATGAACGCCATGCCGTGTGTGCGGAAATGGGTCTTGAGGTTGAGAGGGCTGTCACAGCTCTTGCCACAGACCTTACAGGTCAGCGGGCCTCCAGAAGCAGGCAAGGGTGAATCTCCAACCTCTGCATCAGACCTCGATGGAGGGGCCTCTTCCTCCCCATCACCCAGGCCCAGGGCACTGGCACTACCCACACCCCGTTTCTTCTTGTGGCTGATGAAGCGATGCCGGCTCAGGGAGCCAGGGGAGGCAAAACATAAGCCACAGTCAAGGCACTGCTGGGTCCCGCCATCCACCCTCAACCCCACCATGAGGCTCTGCTCCACTGAGCCACCGCTCCGGTAGCGAAGGGGGCCTCCCGACCCAGGTCCACCCCTGGGGGATTTGGCTGGAGGCGTTGTGCTGTCGGGCTCCTCACTGCAAGAATCAGAGGACTGGCGACGTTTCCGTCCTGGCCCCTGGAGAAGATAGTGACGCAAGACTGGGCCTCCCCATCACCCTCGGCGACCCTGGCACCCCCAACCTGACTTCCAGAGCCCAGAGTCTGTAACTCTGCAAGTTCCCACTCTCACAGCCCTGACACAGGGTCTCTGCCTACCTGGGCTCTGGCACCAGGGCCCCGGACCACGATACTCCCCCGGCCAGGAGACTGGTCCCCGAGAGGCAAGCCATGCCGGACCTGGACGTGTTTCTCCAGGATCAGGCGGCTGCTGAAGGTGCGTTTTCCCTCTGTGCAATACCTGGAGGGGGAGAGGGGGCAGGGTAGGCACCAAGGCCAAAGACCAAGGCCAGTGGCTCAAGAGGAGGGGGACTACCAGAGCAGAGGGAGGCCTCCACCTTCAGCCCACTCAGACAAGAAACAGGTGGGAAAGTACTTTTGGGGGGCTGGGGGTAGGGAATGAGGAGGTCCCCTGCTAGACAGAAAGAGGAAGACATAAGAGGAAAAGGGTTACCTGCATGGGTAAACTCGCTTGATACCCTCATGATTGACTCTGACGTGGCGTCTCAGGCTGGGGGCGGAACAGAAGGATCGCTCACACAGGCGACAAGGGAACTTTTTCACTGACTAGGAGAACAGGGGGTGGGGAACCTCAGAGCCAGGCTCCAGGACCTAGCCCCACTGCCACACAGAACAATCCCTAGGCTGCCCCTCCAGCCCACCTGGCTCACCTTGCCATGCTCCTTCTTCATGTGAGCCACATACTCATCACGCTCCGGGAACCAGGAGTGACAAAGGCCACAGGTCCAGCCTCCAGGGCCCCCACCCCCACCCTTTGTGCCTTTGTTTCCTAAGTCCCTGCGAGGCCGTTTGGTTGGACGAGGGGGCTCTGGGGAGCTGGGTAGTTCCTCCTCTTCTGAGGTTGAAGACGATTCCTCCGTAGGGGGAGCTGCTCCTCCTCGAGACACAGCCAACTCCTCAGGCTCAGCCTTGGGGGTCGTAAGGGCATCCGCAGCCCCTTTCCCAGCAGCCTCCTCTCCCAAGCGACCAGACTGATGGGTGTTCTGTGAGAGACAGACAAGCGGGATGGCTGCTGTGGGGAAGGGCCTGGCTTTGCCAGAGTCCTCGTTCCTCCCGTCCCTAAAGGTTACATGGCACCTGCACCAGGTCAACACAGCTAAGCAACCCCCTCCAGCCCGATTCCTATACCTTGAGATGGTCCAGCATGGTCCTTTTTTGGGCAAAAAGCAGAGGACAAGACGGGCACTTGAAGACACTGACACGCTGGGGCAGCAAGTGCTGGTCGAAGTGTGAGGAGAGGAGGGGCTTGTGAGTGAAGACCGTGTCACACATGGCGCACTTGTAGATCATCCTGTGCAGGCGGAGAGGTCAGTGCAGACACCCTGCCCCATCAGGGCCCGACCCCCTCTGGCCCGCCCCCTTACCCATCCCCATCCCCGGTCTCACTTGGCCTGCTGCGTGAGGAAGCTGGGATGCTGGGTGTAGAGGTGAGCGTGGGCGCTGGGTGCAGACTTGAAGGCCATGGGGCAGATGGGGCACTTGTGGAAAACCTCGCAGTGCGACGTCTGGATGTGCGACTTGATGGAGTTCACACCCCCAAACACCACTGCACAGCTGGGGCATCTTTAGAGAGGACATGCCAGACACTGTGGTGAGGCGGACCATCTCCATTCCCTCCCCCACCCCACACTCCTCCGTGGACCTCAAGGAGTTAATTGGCGGTGGAGCCTGAGCAAGGCAGAGACCCAATCCCTTAGGGAGGTCTGTCAAGGCGGAGCTGGAGCTCTAGAGGGCCCTGCTCACTGTTTGTCAGCACACCAGGGCCACAGGACTGAGCAAGAAAGATGGGGCTCCTGAGAGGGCATCTAAAAGGTTACTGCTAGGAACCATGAAACCAGCAAAAGCATGGGCGACTGCGGAGGTACGATGGGGAGGTGTGAGGCACCTGTATCCTACACGGCGAGAAAAATGCAGGCAGGCCTCCCGGAGATGGGTCTGAAAATTGGCTTGCAGGAAGTTGCCCCCACACTCAGGGCAGACATGGGGAGGTCGATTCTTATGCATGCGCTGGTGGGCACTGAAGCTGCAGCGATTGGGGAGCATCATGGGACAGGTTGGGCACACCTGTCAAGGGGGTTCAAACAAAGTCAGTCAGAAGAGTGGCCTGTCCCCCATTACTTCTAACCAAGCCCCTCACACCTTCCAAGGTCCTCTCCCCTGGCTGTCCCCTTCCCAGGGAAGGAAGGTGAAAGGCAACTCACGTTGCTGGTGGCCCCAGGAGCGGGAGGCCCAAGCTGCTGGAAGTGGGCAGCCATGCCAGCCTTGTCCCGGCACTGTTCCTTGCACTCCAGGCAGCGAAAGCATGTGTAAGCAGAGGTGGCAGGGGCAGCAGGCGGCTCGGTTGAGAGCGGCAGCAAAGGGGCCTCAGCAGCAACTGTAGAAATGGCGGAGGTGGTGATGGCCCCGTCACCCTTGCCCAAGGCAGGCAAGGCTGGTGGTCCGAGGGCAGATGGGACAGCCAGCAGGGGCATGATGTCTGGCTGCCCCACCATCTGGTCAAGAGCTACAGGCCTCATGACCAGGTGCGAGCACTGCATGACAAGCCCCTTGTCCTTGTGCTCCCTGGCATGCAGTAGCAGGCTGCACTTGTTGAAGAAGACCAGGCGGCGGGCACAGTGGTTGCAGGTGACCTCAATGCGCATGCTCCGGCGGTCATAGTGCCTCGCCAGGCTCTTTTCCAATGAAAAGGCATCCCCACACTCGAGGCAGCGGTAGCCTGTTGGAGGTAGGGCCAGCCCGGCCTCAGCAGGTGGACTCAGGTTTGGCCGGTAGGCAGGCAGCAGGTTCTTGCTGTTGAGAATCTTGTTGAAGGCCTCCACCAGGCTGGACTGGGTCCGTGAGATCACTGTGCCGCCGCCTGCTCCTGGCACAGTGGCTGCCTTGGAAGGCTGCACCATCACCACCGAGGCACCGTTCACCTTCTGTCCTCCTGTTCCCAGCCCTGCCCGCCCCTCAGCCTTGGGCAGAGCTTGGGGCACCAGACCTAGCACATTCTTAGCCATCGTCTTAGGGCTGGTGGCAGTGCCCCCAGGTAGAACCACAGCTTTGCGGGCCACGCTGGCCGCCATCAGCATGGCAGTACTTGCATTCTGGATGGTGGCCACAGGCAGCACAGTACCCTTTAGCCTCGTGCCGTCACCCAATTGGACGCTCACCACCTTTGGACCCTCAGGAGTCGGAGCTGCAGGGGACAGCTTTAGGAAGTTGGCCTCAGCCAGGAAGGTCCCCTCGGCCAAGGGGGTAGGGGGATCAGGGTCTGAGGGGACCCGGGTTACAGTCCTTGTGATATTCCCACAGGATGTTTTAATGGTCTTGATCCGCACCTTGAGGGGCCTAGAAGAGCTGGAGGAGGCAGGGGAGTCATTGCTGTCCTCATCGGCAGCCTCGGCTCCACTAGAAGGACTCTGGGGACTTCCTGGAGAACACTTGTCCACTGGCCCCTGATCCTCCTCTTCTTCCTTTAGGGGCTGACAGCTGGGTACTTTTGGGGAGGTGAGAGGGCTCTGATGCCCTGGAGACTGTTTGAAGAAGGGCAACCCCACAACCTGGGGAGGCGAGGCGCTAGCAGGGATGCCCACAGCCTCAGGGCTGGAGCCTGAGCCGAGCTGGGCTATGCTCTGAGGATGAAGGGGGCTGCAGCCGCCCTGCTTCAAGGCGCCCAGAGGTGTGGGAGAAGCCGGCGGCAGCAGAGCTGGGCCATTCTCCCGGGCCAGCTCAAAGGGAGAAGGGAAAGGAGGTGGGGTCATGGCCCCTTCCCGAGGTGGGGAGGGTGCAGACGGAGGCAGGGGATCAGGGTGCTCCCCTGGCTCCGGCTCAAAATGAGCAAAGAGGTCCAAAGGAGCTTTGCCTTCCATGGATTTTTCTTTCCACGTACTCCCACTGGGAGGAGTTGGAGAGTGGGGGTTTCCTGGAAGGGATGGCTCAGGGCCCCCAAAACCATTCTGCATCAGACGTGGTCCCACAGGCCCTTCCTTAGTTGTACCCCCAGCCCGGACCCCTTCCCCTCCTGAACTTCCAACCAGGGACTCAGACTGCTCAGGACACACAGTGTTCTTGACAATGACACTGACTGCTGAGATGTCCGCTGATGGCAGGCCATGGTCAGAGGCCTGGGCTGAAACCCCAGGGCCATCCCTCACAGCTGCTGCTGTTGCTTCTCCAGATTCACCCCCTACACTGGGTTCTGGCCTCCCTGAGCCTCCTGGCCCCTCATTTTCTTCTGGCCCAGAGTGGATGGCTTCATTTGCATCAATGTCAGGGATGTCAAAGGCAGCAAGGAGGTCATCAAAATCAGGGGTCTTCATGTCTCCCATGGCGGCAGGTCCCAGACCTAACGAAAACAGGAAGAAGAGGGAAAAACTTAGCTCTCTAGAAGCAGAAACCCCGTACCTCCGCCCTCAGGGTCTCCGTATTTATCTCCCCTCAGAACCCACGCACATTCTCACTTGGGCACACCTTCATCACAGCGCAAATCCTAGAGTTGGTGGAGGCATTTGTCTGCCAAACCCTAAAACAGGAGTAAAGGTGGTGTGCACATTCAACAGAAGATAACAAGACACAAAGAAAGCAGAGGAAAAGAGACTTGTCAGAAATACGCATACAAGATAAGGGTACTAGAGACGGAGGGAGTTCAGTGTGTATCTGGTACCCTCCTATGTTCAGCCCAGAATCAATTAATCAATACTACCATTAAGGAGGAGGATGGACACGACGCTCTAGGTTTTAAAAGCTCATTCAAGGCAGCATGGAACCCATTCATATTCTTCATGGATCTTCTGAGTGTCCACACAGATCCGAAAAAACCATGTGTACAAAGGTTCCATGGCTTAAGCCAAGACACTAGGAATGATTCAAGGTCCAGTTTTATCAATGGCTTGCTGAATAAGCAAGTTACTCCATTCCCTTACTTCTGTCATTTGAACAAAAAAGGGGGCAATTAATCCATGTATCATAGGGTTATTCTGAGCACGATATGAAATTGTAAGCATGACAGAACCCAGACTACAATTAATTATTACAGCCAGACCAAACATGGCCATGTCAGGTCATGTAGGGACTGGGAAGGAGTAAGCACTGGAAATCTAGGGCTGTCAGGGGTCACTGTAAGGTCAAGTCTGGGACACTTGGGATCTTCACTGGCACCTGGAAATCCAGTTTGGTTAAGAGAGAGAAGTGGACTCAGGGAAAAGGACCAAGAAAGCAAGACAGAATAAGCCATACGAACAGAAAGAGACAAAGAAAAGACACAGGGAAAAACCCCAAGGAGCCTGGTCACAAGGGCCCCAGACTAGGCCTCTCCTGTCATAAACACCTGGTGCTCCCTCATCTACCCTCCCCAGAGTGCCTCCTGCTCTCCCCTGGCTTGCCCCTCCTACATCCCCATCTTGCTCTCTCAGGGCTAAAACTCCAGGGTGCAAGCTTATCCAGCACAGCTGCCACAATGGGGAAAAGCCAGGCCCCCCTCTCTCCTATCGTTTCTGCTCTGAGTTCCTCACCCCAGGTTGTCCCCTAACCCTACCTCACACTCCCCACCCTTTTAACTTTCCTTTGGCAAAAGTAGCCCAGGAAGTCTCGCCCAACCCCAACCCTGCCCAGTACAAAAAGAAAAAAATCCCACAAAACTTGTGTGTCATTAAAACAACAAGAAGGGCAGTCTAGAGCTTGTGGGGCACCAACATCTGTTCCCTTACCAGCTTTCCCCACGAGTGTATCTACAACTAGGAAGAAGCAACTGAGGAAGTCTCTGCCCATACACATTCCCTGCCCAGGTTGCAAGCCATTTCCCATGGCCAATTCTCTCACCCCTTTCCAGTCTTACACTGTAACTGGAGATAGTCCCAGCAGGTGGCAGCTGGCATGGCTGGGACCAAGGTGGGGGTAGGAGTACCAACTATACGAAGAAAGGGGAGTCCACTCCTCACCCACTCACCCCAATTCTGCAGGCTGTGGGTTTAAACAAAGCCCTTCTCCTCTTGCCTCTGCCCCTGATGGACTGCTAGGCCCTCCTCTGGCTCGCGCCTGACCTGGTGAGGCCTGAGCTGCATTTCACTCAGGGCTGGTGGAGCACAGATCAGTGGGAACTATGAGAAAACATCTGCAAACTCATCTCCCCCTCAGCAACTCTCCCTTGGGGTCCAAGTGACTTAGAGGTCATCCAATAGCCTGGAACACGCAGTAGAGCAAGCAGAGGAGCTCAAAGCCAAAGAGGCTTCCCCTACCTCCCTGCCCAGGCTTTTCTGCGGCTGCTGCGCCCTGTCTCTAGGGCTCCAGCTCCACCCCGCTCCCCCGTTCTTCCCCAAAAGCCAAAGGAAGGGGCTAAACAGGAAGAGGATGAACTGGCCCGGGGAGGGTGGGGGTTCCACTGCCCTTTCCCTGGCCCAGGGCCTGCTGCGCAGGAGGGCGAGGGGCTGGCGGCCGGGGGCGATTAGACTGCAGCCAAGCTGGGCAGCGGGCGGAATTAAGTCCCTGCCATCTGCCGAGGGCCGGCGGCGGGATCACGTCCGGGGTTGCGGGGAAGGGGCGGGGTGTACATAGGAGAAGCCAGAGGGGAAACTGAGGCTTGCGGCGCTTCTCTGGCTCACACCCGCGAGGGATAAGAAGGATGGGCCTCGGCCAGGCCAAGCTAAGCCCTCAGGGAGCTGCCGCGCAGCACCTCCGGGCCCAGGACCACTCGGGAGTGGGTTAGGCGTGTGGAAAGACAGCTTTGGGGACGGCACGGTATTTGCAAGACTCGCAGCTCTCCAGCCGGGGTCCGTCGCAACTACGACCTCCTCCCCTCGCCTCCCTGCGCGGCGCAGCCTCCTCCTCCCGCAGACTCCCGCGACTCCCTCGAGAGTGGGGAGTGAGCGGGAGGCGCGCGGCAGCCCGGGGCGCGAGCCTGAGTCCTGCCCGGGCCCGGACGCTCACCCGCGCCCAGTCGGGGTGCAGGCTCTGCTCCGGCCTGCCCAGGGCCCCCGCCCCCACCCTCGGACTCGGACACCATTTTAGGTCGCGACATCCCGCAGCCTCCAGCCCCTGGGCCGCGCTTCGGACGCCTTTTGGGCTGGGAGCGCCAGGACTTGGAGACCCCGACCCTCCTTCCACGTTTACCCGGCTAGGGGCTGTGCTTTCAACAGGCTGGGAGTTTCGCCCATCCGCCCCATGGAACGGTGGCGGTATCCGGGCCTTCCTAGAAGCCGCCCCAGGGGGGCGACGCGGAGAAGGGGATAGTTGACCAAGTGGGGGAGGGGCGGGGTATTTACCCGCCCCCCCGGGGGCGGGGCCAAGGGCGGGTATTTACCCCAGGCACGCTTACTTGTTTGGCTCCCAGTGCGGGCCGAGCCCCGGCGGTCTCGCCCCAGCTCCAGCCGCTGCCGACGCCGTCGCCGCCGCCGCCGCCACCGCCACCGCCGCCGCCCTCCCCGCCTCCGCCGCTACTTCCTGCTTCTCTCCCGTTCAGCCTCCCCCTTCCTCAGCTCCCTCCGCGTTCCCGGTCTGGGCTGCCCGCTTTCGTACTCGCCATTGGTCAATCTCCTCGTCGTTCAGTACTGCGCCCCTCCCAGCCCCGCGCTGGGTTGGCCTTAAGTACTGCCGCTCGGAACAAGGCCCGCACAGTCTTCCCAGCTTCATTGGGCAAAGAGCCTAGTCCTTCTGAAGATGCTTCTCACGATTGGTTATGCCGGGGCCCACCTGCCCCCCATCTGTGCACCTCAAAAGCAATTGGCAGCGGGTACTGTCTTTTAGGAAGAAGCCGATCTGATTCCCTGCTTTCCTACTGAAGGCGGTGACTATCCCAGGTGCGTCTCCGCCCCCTAACTCCCTATTGGCCGCGATCCTTAAAGTCTGCAGTTCGCTTATACAAATTTAAGGAACTCTCAGCTTCTATTCGGTGAATACTTGAGAGGAACCTCTTCTACTCCAAATGGACCTCGGATGTGTAGATCCGTTTGCGCTTTCTCAAGCTAAATCCCAATGTCAGTTATGCCGTGCAAAAGTCACAGAATGGGACGTCATCCAAAACATTACGTAATCTGTTTGACTATTTTCTTGCGGTTTTTCCTACTGTCTAAATCTCCATGACATCTAAATGCATGGAGTCCTCACACGGGCCAGCTCCAGAGGCGTCACCCATAGCTCTGGGTGACGTCCCGCATTACTCTGCGGGAGGGCTTGGAGCGGAACGGGTTTTGAAGTGTGGAAGGCACTGGCACCTGAAGCCGGGACAGGCTTGCAGACCGGAAGTGGGGAAGAGGTGACGTTACAGTGCTGGCGTGGCCTGGGCCATTTCCAAAGGTATCTTAAAGCGGCACATTGGGAGGCTTCCCAAACACGGGGAGGGGGTTGGGAAGAGAGGCAACCGCAGACACTCACACACACACACCCCCACTACCACCACCACCATCCCGCCCCCCAATTTCCCACTTGAACTCTCCTTTTCCCTGCCCCCAGCATGGGGTGGGGGTGGAGTCAAGGCCAGTTTTCCCGCGCTTTGTTGCCCCGCCCCCTAGAGGCGGGAGAAGGGGGAGGGATATTAGGGGAAAGAGTTGCCTTTATATTGTAATAAGCACACACTTGCAGAATTCTCCTGGAAGCCCAGTGTTCCCCCTTGAGCACACGCTAGGCCGGCTCGAGAGCCTCCGCAGATGACCGCGCACGCAGCCGCTCACAACCTGGGCGTGGTTATTAAAAATGGTTCTGTTACCTTGCCAGCGGTCACAGGACCCGTGGACCCACGACTCCCCCGCGCACGCTGAGTCTGCGTAGGTAAGAGCGACTGTATTGAGGTGTGAATCAGTTTTATGGATGGGAATCTTGTGGCCACCACTTACTATGTAATTCCATTGGACAAGTTGATCAACTTCCCTAACTAGTTTTCTTGTGGGTGAAATGGGGATTATTATATCCACCTGACATGATCATTTTTTGTGAGAATGAAAAGCGTCTAGTACGTAAAAGGGCTTTGTAGAGTGATGAGCAAATGGGATTAGTACTCTCCCACACTCCACCTCCTCTGTCCAGGTCGGTGCGAGTCTCCAGCTCGCAGCGGTCTTCCATCTCTGAGCAACCAACCAGCATTTCATTCCCACCCTCTTCTTTGAGTCTTCCTGTATGGAATAATAACTACTGCTCATGTACACATGTGGGACCTGTTATAAGGACTTCGATGTATATTGACTTATTTAATCCTTACCACAACCCGGTGAGGTACTATTATCTCATTCTACCCAGGAAACTGGCACAGACAGGTTAGGTTAGGTGACTTACCCAAGGTCAAATGTAGTGGAGTTGAGACTCTAAAAGATCCAGAAGACTAAACGCTAGGTATCACAGATTCTCTCGTCAGGAGGATTCTGGATAGAAGTTTGTTCTTCAGTTAGATGTGCTGTTCATTCATTTAAGAAATGATTTAATTAGCCATGGATGGCATGGCTCAGTGGATTCAGTGCCGGCCTGTGAACCAAAAGGTTGTCAGTCCCATTCCCAGTCAGGGCACATGCCTGGATTGCAGGCCAGGTCTCCGGCTGGGGGTGTGAGAGAAGCAACCTGAAGGATGTTTCTCTTTCTCCCTCCCTTCCCGTCTCTTTAAGAATGAATAAAATCTTTTTTTTTTTAAGACAGTCAATATTATATAAAAAAAAGAAAGCAATGACTTAAATGTCAGCCAGTGTGCTAAGGGCATATGGCTTGGGTTGCACCCTGGGCTCAGACAGAAGGCAACCGATTGTTGTTTTGCTCTTACATTGATGTTTCTCACCCTTTTCCTCTCCTTTCCCCTTTTCTAAAATAAAGTATTTTTTAAAAAGTGACTTAATTCAACCAATATGTGTTTCTTGAGCACCGTCTATGAGTGAAACACTTGTAGACACAGGGGAGACAGCAGTGAACAAAGCAGACGAGAATCCCTGTCCTCATGAAACATACATTCATGTGGAGAAGGCAAACAATAAATATGATAAATAAGTAAAATATATAGAAACATGTTAGAAATTATCGTTGCCAAGGAGAAAAAAAATAAAGGAGGATCATCAAGCCACAAAAAGACATGGAGGAATTTTAAATGCACACAATGCGAAATGAAAGAAGCCAATCTGAAAGGGCTATATACTGTATGATTCCAAGTATATGACATCCTAAAAGGGCAAAACTATGGAAACAGTAAAAATATCATGATTTCCAAGTGGGGTGAAAAACAGGAGAATTATTTGAAAAGCTGTTTAAGGAGGGTTTTGCCTCAGGTCCCCTGCTCCATTCCGTGTAGCTTTTTGCCTACTCCTCTTCCACCGTCTCAGGAAACTGGGGGTGTATGCTTCAGAGAGGGCAGGAATACTATCCTAAAATTAGTTAGACTAAAAAGAACATTTACATCCTGAATTCCAGTCCCCAGAACGCTAGCAACCAGAACTAGACTCTTCAAGGAGACTGGAATGTTTGCTTTGGAGAATCTGATGTAAAGATACTGACATCAAAGGTCTCCCAGGAAAAGGCCTGGCCACATCATCCTAGAGAAAACCTTATAGTTAACAGCTCCCCGTGAAGGCTCAAAAATATTGTTTTCCACATACCCTGAGAAAATAAAATTTAGCTCTGTCTGAGAAAGTGAAATCCTGCCCTGCCATTCATCAAACTGGGATCACAGACATAGAAAGCCTACAAAGTTAACAAGACCCCCTATTTCTGCCAAGGTATGTAGCAGTTCATAAGGACTCCCTTCTGGAACTAGAGCTTTCTTACACACTGAGAAACTTTGTTCTCTAAAATCATAGACTATAAGAAGCATTGCTGTTTGAAAGCATATCAGTGAGAATGAATCATTCTCTTTTTGCCTCAAGGATCCAAGTTGCACTGAGACAGGTGAGCAGCCTTGATTTACAACCCAGGTGCAGAGCTTCAGATAAGAGATTTCTGGACACAGTATTCTGCATCAACGTTTACTTCACAGTCTGTGAACCTCTTTACACAGATCCCTATTTACTTTGAGCCTATGAGAACACCGCTTTGTTTAAATTTCACCTAAGCTTCACCCTTGCCCCAAATCCAAGTACACGTATCTCTTCCTTTATTTGATGAGATGCCTTTCGGTTCCTTTGGTCTGTGATCTCCCTTACTGCCACAGGCCAATAAGCCAGTGCTGGTCTTTAGCTGGTTGAGCTAGAACAACTCTCAAAGAAAACAGGAGGCTTTGGTCCACCAAAGAAAAAGAGGAAACCAAGAATGAAGTTCAGTGGTGTAAGAAAAATAGAATTCAGCACATGCAAGAATCAAGGAGCCTCCCCAGGATGAGAGGGGAGGAAGGTTGGAGGGGAAAGGGCAAAGAAGTCAGAAAAGGTTTGCACCAGGAGGCTCCAGGAAGGACTTCCATAGGGAAGGTGAGATTGACTTGAGTGCTTTCGGAGGAAATCAGGTAGTTGGAGAAGAGTTGGGGTCAGATAGTAAGAAGTGAAGGAAAAAGCATTTCAAGGAAGAAAAAGTATCATAGTGACTCATTATGAATAACATTGACACAGTCAAAATAATGTAAATTCTAAGCAGTCCTTTAACTAAACTTGTTACATAGTTATATGGGGAAAATGGGGAAGGGAGGGTGAGACGTAGACCAGCGGAGTCGTTACCTTCCATTTTGGAAATCAATGTATGATATTATAAAGTAATAAATCAAGTAGTCACAGTGTAAGATGTTATTTAGAGATATGGAAAGAGATGCTAAAATATCAGCTACAAAATTTTAAAATGGTTGCTTCTATGTAGGGTGAAATGGGGAGAGTGAGCTGGGATGTTGTTTATAACAAGTATTATAATTAACTCCAAATTAAGTACATCTATAACTAAAAGGACTAAAGAAAAGATAGAACTAAAATCTTGAACATAACTGCATATTAGTAGGGAAGGGTTGATTAAAATTATTCTAAGACTTTTGCATTACTTGATTAATTTTTATTGTTAAATGTTCTTATCAAAATTTTTAACTTAAATATTAATAGAATAGGAGCAGAGTGTATAATTTCCAAATAAATAGAAAGAAAAAACAGAATGGAGTCAGGAGAGCTCTAATCGTCCAAAAGAAGACAGGAAAGGAGAAAAGTAAGAGACTTTGAAAAATCTGGACAGATTAGAAAGACCAAGAAAAATTGTTAAAAATGAATCCAATGATATCATAATCATAATCAATGTAAATGGAGTTAATTCTCCAGTTAAAAGGCAAAGTTAG